GACTCTGCTTGGCGATGTCTTATTTGGAATTATAAATTATCCCCACTGCTGGTTTTGATCAGACTCAAATCTATTTGCCTGGAGTACTTAATGTGTCCTAAAGTGAGTCATAACCAGCTTTTACTATGGGAAAAACATGAGTGGGGAGAACCTGGTGATAAACAGGACCTCCGTCTGAACAGTTGCCACATGAGAACAGTCACTTGGCTGTTAAATACCAAGTGTTTTTATTTTTGTTTTTCTAGTTTTGTTTTGTTTCTTTTCCTAAAGCAAAGAAAATTCTTTCTTTCCTTCTATAGTTAAGTGGAGAGGAATTTCCTAAATTATTTCTTCTCCAATTCATTTCTATGATTTTAAATTATGAGATAGTTTTTTCTTTTTCGTTTCCTAAATTGGTCAACCAAGAAACATAAGCGATGTATAGAACCAAAGCAGGGGAAGAGTCCGAGGTCAGAGTGAATCCACTGCTGGCCTGACCCAGGTATCCCGAGGCATGGTACTCTGTCTGGTCTTTGGCATTGCATTCAGGGAATGAGCTGTCTATGTTTTTAACGAGTAGTTGTAATGATGGGCAGATGATTGATTGTACCATTGCAGAATTTCCCACCTCTTAGAGGATTTGGGATCAGCCCTGGGTGTGCCGGATCAGGGGAGATGGCGTACAGTAGTGTGCATGGACTCAGAAGTATTTCCAGTCAGCACTCAAGGTTGAGTCATAACTTATGTCACTGTTTGGGTGTTACAATGTTTACAAGGTAAAATCATACCTCTGGGGAGACCTTGTATGTCGTTCCCACGCCAGCCACCATAGAAAAAATACACCCGAAGGAAAGGCTGCATCCCTGCATTTTAAAATAAATACAGCAATCACCTTGGGTATCGCTTCTTCCTTTGACTCCTTGTGGGGAGTAAGTGGATAATTTAATCTACGACTGAAATCTCTGGGCAGGGCTGTATTGGAGGAATGGAGAGAGCAGGGGCTAGCTGCTGCTTAGCCTGCAGGAATCAGAGCGTACATGTTTATTATGCGGTACTGTTTCAAAGCATTTGCAATGCATTGCATTACTTTAGATTTTCCTATAACAGTAGTAAAGTTTTCAGTGAGCTTTTTGGTTTGTTTTTTGTCTTTTTGAGACAAGGTTTCACTGTGCAGTTCAGGCTGACTTTGAACTCACTTTGTAGCCCAGGCTGGCCTTGAACTCGAAGCAGGCCTCCTGCCTCAGCCTCCCGAGTGCTGGGATTACAAGCATGTACTACCAGCTGAACTTTTAAATTAATGTCTCTTTCTTGAAATCTACTTTGTGATGGAATTAAAGAATAGCTAAAATACTAATTTTAAAAGTAGGGAAAGTAATTCATCCGTTGAACCCAAATTAGCCAGAAAATATAAAAAATTAAAATTAGTATTTAGTTTTATTTATAACCTTTTCCAATATGTATTTGCCAGCTCATTAAGTTTAAAGGTAAGACTTAATGTTTAATACAAGATTCAAGTTGGTCATCATGGTGCACATCTGTAATCCCAGCAGTTAGGAGGCTGAGGCAGGAAGATAATTGTGAGGTCAAAACCAGCCTGGGTTAAAGTGAGCTCAAGGCCAGCCTGAATTGCACAGCAAGACTCTATCTCAAAAAAACATTTCATTATCCTGGATTATGTCATCATTTTGAACAATTTTCATTGCACAGAACTATAAATACAGAAATAGATGATATTTTACACATTGGGTGCATTCAGCTTATTTTTATATGTCAGTTATTTTATAATCATGTAATTTGATCTCCTGCCATTTTCATGCTATTTTCCAGGTTGTGTAATATTTCTTGTACTTGAGATTCTCTTACAAATATATTTTAATGACTATTAATACAAGTACTTTCTATTTATTTTTGCTTTCTTTTTCCTTTTTTCCCTTCTCCTTTTCCTTTCTTCTTTTCCCTTCTTCATATTTCTGTATGCGTGGGATTGAAAGGTCAACTTCTGTATTATTTCAGTATACAACAACCAGAACAGGTGTGTGACAATCGAACTCTTGTTTGTAAATGTCTGAAAGTAGCTGGAAAGAAGTGAGGCATCCTCTGAAGGAAGTCCTTTTAGCAGTTCCCACAGGGAAGGTGGCCTGTTGCTCTGCCTACATCACTGGAATGCTGAGAAAGGATTCAGAGAAGCGATGTGGGGGCCACACATCTGCACACCAGCAGATAACTGCACTGTGGGCTCTGCAGTCATGCCGGGCTGCACAAACCTGCAATTTCCCAGGGTCTGACCTGCTGGTCGCTCTTGGCTGAACTTTGATCTTTCCCTGCAACACATATTATTTGCTTTCCTTTGCATTTTTCTTGCCTCCAGCATAGTTTCTTCCTCTATGAAGTGCCCCACCAACAAGTCCAAAGCCTTCTGGCAGCATGCACGTGCAAACACACACACATGTACATACACCCTGGCGGCACATTTTGAGCTCAGGCTCAGTATTAAGTCCTTTTCTGAGTTGCATCCTCTGAGATGTGGTTTCTTGGACTTTTTCCTAAGGTACTATTTCAGACATGGGATTTTGATACCCCACATCATGAATAATCTTGGAAATAAAAATAAACAGACCTTTTAAGGGGTATGATGAGAGGGGTAGGGGTACACTGCTGCAGGGTTGGCTGGATCTGAGTGCACCTTGAGACTCACTGGTTGCTTGTCCTGTTGCTTCAGGCATCACTCTGTCCGTCAGTCTCCTCAGTGGAAACTATATCATTAACTCCCTCAAAGGGGTTGGCATCATTATTAAGTAATATAATTTAGTCAGAGAGCAAGTGTCTAACATAATGGAGGCCCGGCCTCTTGTTTTCACTGTTTCCTAAAGATGATAATACTCTATTAGGGAGATGAAAGGTTACTGCTTACAATGGGAAAATGTTCAATTTATCAATTAATCACCAGCAGTTTTACCTAGTATCCTATTTGAAGTGGGACACAAACTCAGATAAACTTCCTTGGCACTCTACAATTGCACTTCAGAACACAGAATCCTAGGTAAGCAGGCTCTCTTCTTCCACCCTGGAAATAGTTGCAGTTATCTTAAAGATAGGCAGTTCCTCTGCTATTAAAATACATGCACAGGAATAGAAAGGTAGGCTCTCTTTATTTCTACCCACTAATAAGAAGTGTGGACTCTTAAGCCATGTCTTAGTTTTAAGAAGATCCAAGATGAATTGTAGACAGGGATGTAGCTCAGCGGCACAAGTGCCTGCCTGGCAAGTGCAGGGTCTTGAGTTCCATTCCCAGTACAAAAAAAGAAAAAAACATGTTCTAAATTGGTATTATCTGTCCTTGCCGCTTTGCAATTGACTGAAATGACAACATATGTGCTCTTTTATAGACACTATCACATATCATTAATCAAAGAATAAATCTGATTTATATATAGGAGGTGTAGTTAGTTGTTACTTTCTATTGAGATTTATCTGCTGACAGGAGTTACTGTCTAGGTGATGAACCTTCTGATTGTCAGTCCAGCCTTCTGAGATGTGTTGCTTCTTCCGTTTTTCAGAGGAGGAATGAAAGCTCCCAGAGACCACACACCTTGTCCAAGGTCACATGAGCTATACAGAGCAGCAGAACTCTGGGATAGACACTGGATAACTACCTCTGCAGAAGTCTCTGCATTCCATGTCATCTACCTCTGAGAGGGTCCACTTCTGTCTTAGTGTTGGCTGTTTTCATATGTACTGTTTCCTCTTTATGCTATACACTGAGATATTTCACTACTCACTGATGCAAATCACTTTTAATTTCATAACACCAGACCAGCAGAGTTAAGTCTGCATTCCCTGGTGGCCTAGGCATTTCTAGGTTAAGCCAGTTCCCTCAGGATGCTGTCACTCTTGAGGAGTGTCACCCTAACCAAGAGGCAGCACCAAGTGATGCCTGAGTCAGTGCTTCACCTGAGACCATAGTGACCACCTCCAGACCCATGCCGTCTCACTGGACATGAGAAGCAGAGAGCAGGTAGGTGACTGGCTGTCGGTTACATACCTGGAACTAAGCCCAAATCCGACCACCAAGCAGCAGCACCTCCATTAGAAAGCAGACTGGGAGACCTGGGCAGTGTCATGGAGTATGTTCTCTTCTCCACTCCCTCAGTTCTGTCTTTGTGCTGAGAATTTACCCACCATCTGTTAGCAACAACAGTGCCTTCTGTGACTAGGCAGAAACTGTACCCACAGTCAGTGCTGAGTTTTGCTCAAAGATGCTAGTTTGAATATTCTATGATCCTAAGTGTTTAACATGTTATTACAAATGGATCGAGAATTACAGTTCAAATTATTTTTGATCTCATTTATATTTTACCCCACATATAAATTAATCTTCATCAATGTTAGTTTGTATTTGTTTTGCATTCATATCATGTGTTACCAGTGGCCATTGAATCCAGGTCCATCATGCTGACACACATCCTGGCTTTTTTGTCTTTTGTTTAAAGACAGGGTCTCATTGAAGCACTCATCTGCCTAGGCTGAACTCAGACCTGTAAACCTCCTGCCTCAGCCTCCCCTAGGGCTGGGATTATAGGTGCACATCACCCCACCGGGCCTCCTTAATGCTTTAGCAACTTTAACTTTGTAGTTAAGTTTTTTTCTATCAGAAACGTGATTCCATTGCCATGGTCACAAGGATCAGATGTACTAGTCAGTTTTGTGTCCCGGTTTATGTAACCCTTTTCTAACACTGGGTATGCAGACCTTCCTCGTGTCTGTTGAAAATATAGAAAGATGTGAAAACATAATTTGGCTTCTGATTCCCATGTGAACAATACTGAGGGCAAATGGTGCCCAACACATGGGGAAGCCCACTTCTACCTCGTGGAATTCTTGGGGATAAAGTTCACCTCTCCTTGGTAACCTGAATTTCTACGGAAGATAGAATTATCAGACACGTTCTGAAACAGAGCTGGTTAGTGGAAAACCTAATGTCATGCAGATAAGGAAAGAAGCACCAAAGTAAACACAGGAAATGCATCATTTAACATTTTTATATCTTGGAAAAGGAAAAAAAAGATGTAGAAAATCAATGAGGCCAAGCAATCCACATGGGCAGTACAGTTGGAGAAAGGGTGCACAGACAGGCACAGACAAAAGGCATATTCATTGCAAATTTTCCAGAAAGCAGTGGTCTTGAGAGGGCTAGGACCCATCGCAGACCGAGCAGCTACACGAGCTCCCATCAGAGCATGAAGGCTTTAGCGCAAGGCACTCAGAGATGCCTCCTTCTGTACTGGGCTGGCAGGGTCCTCTGTGAAACAATGGTGAGGCCTTAAGCTAGGGTGACTTCCGCCCCAAAAGAGATCCACAGACTGAGAAAACTTGGAGAAGAAAAAACTAAATGTTCACCATGCAGGAGGAACCAACATACAAGAAAAGATTTTCATTTCTAGGCTATTGATGGATTTCTAAGCAATGAAATCCTTAAGTAGGCCGAGAGGCTATAATTAGGATTTTGTTGATTAAAATAAGAAAAAAGTTAGTTGACTACATTTCTCCTAATAGTTCAGAAATAAGTCTCTGTTGGCTCAGATAAAGGTGGACTCAAAAGGCAAAAACACTAAGAAATGCTGTGCACTTGGACACGTCTTCTCTGATTTCGCAGTTATCTTTTCTAATTCTTGAGTCCCTAAAAACACTCAAGAAACCCTCCCCCCAGTAAAACAAAACTTGAACTAAACTTCAAAAAGAACCAAACTTCAAAAACTATTAACAAATATATTTATTGTGGTGACTTTCTGTCTTACTGACACACCGCGTTAGAAAGCAGCAGCCTTTCAGTCCCAGGTGGACGAGGAAGCAGGAAACAAAGCTGTTTTTCCCTCACCGAGAGAGAAAGGAAACACATGATTTTGGAAACATGGTATATTCTCCCTGCTCTATTTTTTTCTATGAAATCAGAATTTTCTCCTAATAAGTGTGGCGCTGTTCTTGGAAGAAAATTACAGGCACACATTTACAGACATATACAATCCAAGGTGCAGTGGGGCGGGCCCAGTAGTGCTGCCACGCATTGGAGATCTGTTCCAGGTGATCACGACCTTCACAGTTCTGTGAGGCGCAAAAGAAGTCTCCAACTCTATGATTTCTTCCACCTTGCCTTTGCCTTCCTCCAACTCCACACAGAATAGCTCTACAGAAGCATGGATGAGAGCAATCGAAGTCATCTGAATACTTCTAGGATGAAGTTGCTCCTGTGTGATAAATTCTCTAATTCCAAATGCCAGGCCCTAGTGCTGAGCTCTCAAGAGCTACCCGACAAAACCACACTGTCCTTGGAATGAGGTTTCTCTCCCCATCTCTTATTTGTTTTGAAGGGATACTGCATCCTTGAATTTGCAGAATTCTCTTTCGCTTCTTAAAAACAATAGTTGGAAAAAATATTTTTTTTAAATAGGGAAAAGATGTGTCTTCTCCGGATGTCATCATTATGTTGATGATAGCTTATAGCTTATTGATATTTATGTACAAAATATCTTATCTTCTAAAAATGCAAAGAAGCCCATACGATAACGGTGTGAGAGTATCCCTTCTTTGAACTTTCGGCTCTTTGTTGTTAGCTATGCCTGTATGAAGAATATACAACTATTTGGAATGTTGTCTAGACAGCGGAGTAACTGATATGTCATCCATCTGTGGTCCCAGTGGCTGTGGCACCTTTCCTGGGCATCTGGTGGAGACAGCAGCAACAGAGTCTACACTAATCTCATGGGGCCCCTTCAGGGCACAGTGCTGACGGATACCGGTTTCTGTTGGACTTTTCTCTTCTTTTGCTGCGATTTGTCTTTGTTTTCTCGTTGATCTGGGGTCTCTCTGCTGGATTCCAGACCTTTGTTGTCAGGAATTGCTTCTTTACCCTCTTCTTTATTCAGTTTTTTTCTTTTCCTCTCTCTTCCTTTTTTTCCTAAAACAAAAGGAGAATTCTTTAAGTGTCACATTAGATTACATTCTATTTGATTGTTACAAGTTTTTAAAGATGACTTACATTTAGTTGAGACTGTGTACAACAGATTTCAAATGCATACTCTTTAAATCGTTAACTGAAGTGCTTTTTATTAAGTACATGTGAGATGCTTAACAATGTAAACATGAAATGAATACACAGTGTAATGAAGCAATTAATATATGGTAATTTGAATCCTTAAGAGTTCTATTCCTATAAATTTAGAATTTATTTTACATGATATTTATTTATACTTCATAGAAAGTTTTGAATAGATTTCTTGCTGTGTAAAACTTTATTAATATGCATATTTTATCTGGCTCATATTTAAGAAACCATTTTTATTTGAATTTTTCCAAGTAGACTTACATATTTGCGATCTGTTGAGACATTTGCATGCCATTTAAGAGAACTGATCTGCATAACTGTGAAATAATAGTTTATATTGTAAACAAGATAGCTGTACTTTAACACAGTGTGCTGAAACTAATTTACATTTCCTTTTCTTTATATATAGATTGGTACTGACTAGAACTTATCAGTAATCCTATGGTATAAGTTACAAGGGTAAAGATTTTGTGTTTCTATTGATAAAATAGATGTATACTGGATTGCATGGGAGCTCCTGACACTGAACTGGGTTGGAAGTACAGATCTAATTCAGACTGACCCAGGTTTTTAAATGTGGAATTGAAGGGACTATCAAGTTTTTGATTGAGAGGGTTTATCACTGCCAACACGGTGTCAGGGTGAAGAATTGAATTTTATTCTATTGGCGCAGAGAACCCTGAAAGTTTTGGGGAAAGAGTAATATGATCAAAGAAGAGCCTGACAATAAATTGGAAGTACTGTTTTTATTTCTTTAATTAGATATTTTATGTAAACATTCTATGCATATATTTAATGGTGTAAAGCAATTTTTGAGGGCATGATTTTAACAACATTCATTAATACCTATATCCCAATGAGAAATTACTTATACTAAAATGAATACCTTAGCAAATGGAACCACGGAACCAACTGTTCTTCAGCATAAGGAAAATTCTAAGTGTGTAAAACCATTTACTGAGTCGTGTCAAATCTGAAATTTGTCCAAAAGAAGTGATTTTGGACAAGAGTATTTTGGAAAAATTATTTGCTTGAGAGAAGGAAAATATTTTCATGTCCTGAAAGAGGCTGCAAATACTGAATTCAGTGGTTTGGCTCATTTTCTTCTTTAGCTCTGGTTACAGAATCCTAGGGAGCAATACTATTAGTATGGCAAAGAGATCCTAGCCCCATACAGTCTCCTTGGATTAATGGCTATGCCACAGCAAGCTTTGCCATGGGACTATAGTTACAAAACCTTCCAACTACTTTAAAAACTGGACTTGTTGGTTCAACATAACACATTACCAAATTCTGAATTCTAGAAGTACACTTAATAAAAATGAGAATTCAGACCAGAGTAAAGCAAATATCAAATTATTTGGGATGTATGGAGACAACAAAAAATTATTTCTGAGATGAACTACTCATCCACTGATTTCCCTGTTTCGTTATCCCTTTCATTTTAGAGTATTGCTAGTTTTAGTTTGTGGAAGACTCTCCAGCTGATTTGCTTTAGGGATCATGCTAGCTCACATTCCCACCACCAATGGAGAAGGTTTCCTTTTTCCCACAGCCTCACCAGTATTTGTTATTATTTGATTTTTTGATGATGGATATTCTTTCTGGAATAAGATGGAATCTCAGGGTTGTTCTAGTTTGCATTTCTCTGATGGCCAGCACTGTTGAACATTTTTTTGGTTGTCTATTGGCCATTTGAACTTCCTTTCTGAGAAGTATCTATTCATTTCAACTTGCCTCATTTTTTGATTGTGTACTACTCTGCTATAAAGGTGGATAAACTTGAGAAACCTAAATTATAAATAAAACAGATTAAGATAATAGAAAGTGGAGAGATAGATCTTGTTCAAATAGGAACAGAATCAAGAGATGGAGGGAGGCCAAAGAGAGGAATACAAAAGGGGGTTAAAAAAGAACTGAGATGTGTTATGTTCATGTACCAACTCCCCCAAAAGGATCACAGACATGTAAGTAATTATAAACTAAAACTGAAAAACAAGGACACTACTGTGTTGATAAGATTACTAAAGATGGAATCCATGGTACTCTTTTCCCACTGGATTTAATTATTACACACTTGGAGAGTTGACTTGAATGTAGTAACTGAACAAAGAAAACTGAAGGATAAAATCTACCTTCCTGGATATGCAGCGTCATTTAAACAGCATGAAACTAAACAAACTGAAAGAGGAAAGTGCTGGCTTTCATAGGCTGTGTTTAGATTTCAGAACGAGATGGTCACAAAGATTAAATTACATAATATTTCCATTTGAGGAACATTTTTGGAGGTCTTCAAGTTCGACTCTAAAAAATTGTCAACGAACATGATGCCAAAGTTGCATAAAAATCACCAACCCCAAACAAAATGTTATTTTTATGGAAACAATCCAGAAGTTCAGTGTTTGACATTGCGCTCTTGATGATGGTCCAATATCTTATAGCTGTGAAACCAACCATCTTGCTTCAGAAACACGAGACTTATATTGTTTCATCCTTGGCTGTAGCTTGGTGTCCACGCTTGTCAGCCATTTGTGACAATGCATTCCTGCTTCTTAATAAACTGACATGATTATTTCTCCAAATGGGCAGAAACAATGTTGGGAGCATCTCAAAAGTCAGTACCCACATTAATATTATCCAAGCTCTCTAGTCCTGGTGGTGAGTGAGAGCGGCAGCTCTGATAAAGCTATAGGAAACAGGCGCATTGTACATTGTGGCAGCCTCAGACAGAGCTCTTGCATGACAAAAAAGTGAGATTATTTGTTTACATGCAACACTAGTTGGAAATGTGAATGACCCTGATGTGTAAATACTATATTTTCCTTTTCCCAAGAAATAAAACAGAAATGGAGAAGAATTGCTGTGGCTCATTAAAAAATCACATGCGATTTGGGTTAATTTTATAAAGTTTTCATTTAAAAGGAGACTTCTCTTTCTATTCTGGTGACTTGATAGTTTTGCCTTGAGGTGGGTATCAGTTATTCTGTGCTTTTTATTTCCTATTGTGCAAGCTAAGCATTCCAGATATGAATACCTAACAGACACGCAACTGCCCTGAGTGTGTGCATGTGTGGCACATGGACCTGCTCACTGGAATCGGGTTGTGGAGCATCCTGACAATTATAAAAGGAGGCTGGTTCCCTGTTGATGTTTCAGGTATGAGGATGATGTTTGTGTAGAAAGAATCAAGGAGAAATTACCATTAGCAATTGAGTACAAATGAAGCTGCTATGATTTGAATGTCTCCTCTAAAACTCATGGGAACATTTCATTGGTGCAGTAATCATATTAAAGGGAGGGGCTTTAAAATGTGATTGGAACACTCTGCTCTCATGAACAGATTGATGCTGTTACCATGGACCTGGGTCACTGCAGAAGCGCATATCTTTATGTAAAGGTTAACCTCAGCCTTAGGGTTAGGGTTAGGGTAACTCTGGGCTCAGATAAACTTGCTTGTCCTGTCCCCAGCCATGCTGCAGCAAGACGTCTCTCCAGATGTCAGTGCCATGCTCTGAATTTCCCACCTCCCACAGCCATGAGGCAAAGAAACTCCTTTTGCGCTCAATTCCCCAGTCTGTGGTGTCTGTAATGATTCTGTAGCAGCCCGAGCCAGTCCTTGTCGGGAACCACTGTGGGGTAGCATCGAGGAATACAGTCTTCAGGGACAGAACAATACTGCACTCAAATCCTACATCAGTCACCAGAAAGATGTGTGACTTTGGACAAGTTCTGAAATTTCTCAGGATGAATTGTCTGATATTTCAAATGTGACAACTAGTTACTACTTGCTAAATTTTACAAGGGTCACATGAGATGTATGCAGACCAGCCAGAACTGCTATATAAACCATAGACAAAGTAAAGCTAATATTAACTCATTTCATAAACATGAGTTCACCCCCTACTCCAAGCCAAAATGCTGCCAAAATCTGAGAAATACAAGTGAGAGACCAACACCATAATTATAGTTGCATGCTGATGTTAAAACAGAGGGAAACAGTAGATCCAACTGGAAGCACGAGGGAAAGTTCTGGACTCTGCCAACCGACACAGAAAAAAGAATCTTCAGATGTGATGAGGTTTCAGGGAAGCCTGTAAGAAAGACAAGCGTTTGCCCAGCTGATGGGGAAAGAGGGTTGTGCCTAGCAGGGAACAACGTGCCATGCCTGGGGCAGGCAAGAACACAGGAATCCAGGATGTACGTGGAAAGTAGACTTTCTTGGTTTGATCACAATCTATCTATAGGATATGACTGAGACATGTTGGAAGTGTACACGGGACTTATTTGCGACACTGGGGATTTGTCCCAAGGACCTCATGTCCTGAAAACAGGACACAGGCTTGGATCAGAATCGGAGAACTTGGCAGAGCTTAGAAAGCTCAATTACATATTCTGATTTGTGACCTCATCTCCTTTCTTAAAATTTTACTGTAGCAGAACCCAAGGAAGAAGTATGCTTAGTGGGTTATATGTTATATGAGCCTTAATTTTGGAAAGAACAGCTTACATCTCTGTGCAGTGATTCCACATGGTCTATAAAAGCTTTCTTGCAAACTGTTGAGTCAGTGAGCAGATAATTGGTGTATCTGGATTGTGATATTTTTCCAGCTAATACCCTCTTTTCTCTTAAGTATCTAGTGCTTCCTACAGAGGAGGTTCCAAACATAGACAGCAGCCTTTAAAAATACAAATTTTTGGTTTCTGTGTCGAGACATTATGGCTGGATAGCTTTGGTGATGTGCCCAGGAGCTGGTAATCAATAAGTACACCCCCAGTTTATTAAGCTCTCTAGCCACATTTAAGATTTCTATCTGTAGAGCAAAACATAGTTGATTTCCTTAAACATACACTAT